GGATCTTGGTTGGGATTGCTGTAACCTGTTTTCTTCAGTAAAAGAATTACAGAGAATGAACTAAGACAATACTTTATGCTTTGTTTTTTTCTTAAATTCTGCAGTAATTCTGACAATCAGATTTAGAAAACATACATACACTGTCTTTCACCTCTCTCAGGATTCTACAATTACAACTCACACCCTACCATTTTTTTCAAAAATATTATTGCTCTGTCATTAATGTACAGGCACTTACTAAATGTTAGGAATAAATCTTGTTGACAGTTAGTAAAGATGGTTAAGGTATGTTTTAAATTTGCACTCTAAGGTAAAAGTTATCCATGAATACTACAACTAGTAAGTAAAGTTTAATGAGAAATAGCATATTTACATAGTCTCAGATTATATACCTACAAATTACTTGTTAATTACAAAAGGAAAAACAGTAACTTTATAGTAGAGAAACCTGGCAGAGACAAACTTAACCAAGTGATCCAAGTTAACATCAAGAACAGGGCAAACAGACATCACGTGCCTTTGAGAAAGAACGTTAGTATTCCTGCTAAAACTCATAACCTGAATCTAATCACAAAAAACATGACACAAACACAAAATGAGGCTCTTTGTCCAAATTAACTGGTCTGTCCTCTTCAACAATACCAAGGCAATATGAAAGAAAAAGAAAGGCTTGCAAACTGTTGTAGGTTCTCAGGAACACGATAACTAATGTAATGTGTGCTCCTGGACTGCATTCTGGACCAGAAAAAAAAAATGTTATTAAGGACAAAGGTAAAACTTGAATATGGTCTCTGGATTAGACATTAGTTTTACATAAATACTATATTTTTTGATTGGTACAAATTTTGATAATTGTACTAGGACTTTGTAAGAGAATGTCTTGGTTTTTTGCTAAAGTATTTAGGTGTAAAAAGAGGCACTCTATATCCAGCTTACTGTCAAATAATTTTTTTTTCTTTTTTTTGGAGATCCGTCACCCAGCTAGAGTAAAGTGGCTCACTGCAACGTTTAACTCCTGGGCTTAAGCAATTCTCCTGCCTCAGCCTCCGGAGCTGCTAGGAATACAGGTGCACATTACCATGCCCAGCTAATTTTTCTATTTCTTGTAGAGATAGGGTCTCATTCTTGCTCAGGCTGGTCTCAACTGCTGGCCTCGAGCAATCCTCCCACCTCAGCCTCCCAAAGTCCTAGTATTACAGGCGTGAGCCACCACATCCAGCCACAAATAGTATTTTTTAAGTGTAGATACAAACACACAACTATCTGAGAAAATTATACAGCAAATGGGGCAAAATGTTGATGACTAGTGAATCTGGATAGAGGATATTCTGATATTCTTTATACTTACGTATCAATAAAATTTTTTAAAAGAAAATTGACCAATTTAAAAAAATACATAGCACTACTTCATATTGCTACTATTTTGACAAAAACTATCAAAAACTGAAACTAGATTTCCTCAAAAGAAACCCTATTTTTGATATCGCTACAATTAAGACCACTCACTTTTTCTGGTTTTGATTCCTCTTCATTCTCATCATCAGAGGAAGGACCTGCCAAAGTTGACACTTTGCTAATTACACCAAGTCTGGCTAGCTGATCCAAAAAAATATCACCACCTTTATCTACTAAATCCCTTATGATCTGCAAAGCCAGCAAGTGGCCATCATCATCATCCTGGAAAAGAAAAAAAAAAGGAAGTACATAATTGCAAGGAAGAAAAAATGAAAAAAATAAAGTCAGTTTAGTTGCCCAGAGCAGACAAATGCAGTAATTTACACAGACAAAATAACCTACTGAAACTAGAACAAAATTTTTATTTACTAGCTAAAGGGAATTAATGCTACAAGAGTCTCAAAAAGAAAAGAAACTGACCTCTTGATCAAGGACAGTTGCAGTGATCTCCACTAGTATTGTAGGCAAATTGTGACCAACATCAGAATCACAAACTTCTTTTAACAGTGCTTCAGAGCAAAAATGAATCATTTTTCGAATTAGAGCAAGACTTGCTTTCCTTGAAAAGTAAAAAAAGAATTTTATAAAACCAAATTAAGAAGCTAAAATAAACCAAAATGCACGAATTAATAAAAACTAAAGTATCCAACACTAAGTTTTACACATTCTGCCACACAATACACTTAAAGAATACAAAAAATTGATACTCAATACTAGCACTATAGTTTATGTTCATTTTTGTGGTAATTTCATTTATTTTTTATTACTAATATATTGAGCTCATCAAAACTGACTTTTTATAATTTCCTTAAATGTGCATAATTTTCATTTTACATTAACCAATATGAATGTTAATATACCATAATAAGCTTAGAAAAT